CATATATATATATATAATATATATATACATATATATATTATAATATATATATCTTAAGTAACAACACTCACAGTAAGTAATAACGAGAAATAAATAAAATAACGATATACAATTGTATTGATTATAATGACAATGATAATGACGCGGCTGAACACAGAAACTCACACATTGACGCATTTCTACTTACATTGGTTAATTCTGTAAACCGAGTTCCTTTGTTTACCTCCGCACATGTCGCTGCCGTCACCTTCGCACGCATCGTTACAGTCGGTCTCTGCCACCTGTCCGTGCTTTCCGTATGCCATGCCGCATCTACAATTCTTTCCGTATCCCAGACCCATGAATATGTAGCCACGGTCGATGCAGTAAACGGCGCAGAGGGTCGGGGTCAGGATGCCCCACATTCTCTCGGTTTTCTCGAAATCTCTCTGGTCGTTTTTCTCATCTCTAAAGCATCCAATGTATTGAAGTGTCGTTGCCTCTCCTGAAACAGCACGAGAACAGCGAATGACATAATGACGAAATAAAGATTAAGGAAACGTATCAATGATTGAATGAATGAATGAATGAACAAATTAAAGAATGCATCTACTAATTAAATTATAAGCACACAAAAATGAATATGACAAGTAACAATAACAAATTATAAAGCAATAAAGTTACGCGTACAATACTGGCATTAATAGAATAATGCACTCTTTGCATGCTTCAATTCAGATTTCACCTGATAACGAAATCTCTATGCACAATCCGCCTGCACACTGAAACACGCGACGTTACAAACGTTCTCACCTAGATATATGTTCCATGCTATCGCTGCTAAAACAACAGCAAAGTAAATCACAACCGACTTGGTTCGCATTTTGCAGGTATAGTTGTATAGAGCGTGTTTGCGTTATCCGTGCGCTTGTGCTGCGAGTCTGCGCTGGAGTTATATGTATGTATGTGTAAGGTTGTTTACGTGACATAACACAGAGTGTTGCTAGGGTAGAAAGAGTTACTGGCTAACAAACTTTACATATGGCATCCGCGCTCATGAATTATGGAAAGCGACGCTGATGTTTGAATAGAGCCTAGCGCAAGCTAATTAACTTTAGGTGGCATACAACAGAACCCTTCCTCAAATTGTTCACCGTTTCAATATCTCGTCCCTGGAAAGGGCATTCTTTTAAATATTTTACCAGTAAAATTCGGAACCAGCGTGCACTAATTTGCGTCATGCCCGCCAGTTGGATCTGTTCGATTGCAGATCCCGGTTGATTCATAGTGCACCTCTAAAGCTGTTGCTTAGTGATGTCTGTGTGTAGTTCCTTGTTATTAAAAATAACCATTTCCTGCGTGAGTGCTTCATAGGCATGCACTAGAAATATATATATGTAACTCAAAATCCGCAGGGTACTTCAGTGCTTATCATATACATTACAAATTCAACCTCATCTCTCTCTCTCTCTCTCTTTCTCTCTTTCTCTTTCACTCTCTCTGTGCGTCCGTGCGTGCGTGCGTGCGTGCGTGTGCGTGCGCGGCAAGCGTGTATAAACCTAAATGCACCTGCGTATATAGCTTCTTTGCAAATGCTCTTTCTCTCTCTCTCTTGCGCGCGTCCTCTAAACTCTACAGTGTATCACTCATTAATTGACCTCTAGAAAGGAAACGGTTATTTTCCCTTTGCTCTCTTGTTGTATTTGGCCGTTATATATATATCCACTTGCTTTGCGCGGCCGGGCGCGTATCGCAAAATGAAACCCATTTAACTCTTTCTTTCTTTCTTTTTCGCGCGTTTCGTTTCTATTTTCACTCGTTGTGTCGTTTGTGTATACCACCACCAAACGCTGCATACAACTGCATACATTAACCATTGTCACAAGTAGGCCCCTACATTTATACTATATAGACGTATGTTTAACGCATTATACAGTATAAGGGGGTGTGTGCCGAATATATATATAGAATAATGGTACATAGGAATACTGAGTATTTATAAACAACAGCCCATAGTTTAGATTTGTCGTACGCATGCCAGATTTATTCTTCGAAACAATTTATCGTACAGAAATATGCCGCAGAAGTTCAGGTTACATTGAATGATGGAGAAAACAACCCTTATGACATTGTACGGGACTATCATACCAATGAAAATAACCGACGCCATTCATACATATAATATGCATTTAGTACAAAAACACATTTTAAGCCGATTAATTTACATTCTGTGTATGCTGAATTAATTATTTTAGAAACACAATTATTTTCTAAATACGTTCACATCATTTTGCAAAAATTTAGCATAAATGAATTAACATGCTTATATGTATTCAGCGGTTGTAATTACTCTACCATGTAATTTAATTATATAAGGTAATCAGAACATAGCAACTACAACCAGGTGGAAAAGTTGACGTGCTAAATAAATTTTTAAGTGATGCGTTAACATAAGTGAATGCTTTATATATAAGAATCCAAAAAAATAAAGGTGAAATATAACGTATCCGCCAGTAACACTCGAAATTCCTTTTGGGTAACAAAACGTATTCAGTACCGACTTGTTCGTGACATAGACAATTCAGTTCAGCAAAGCACATGAATAAATCTAGAAATATCGCTGTGACAATGCCGAGTCTGTATGCATGCGTCTATATGAAATTCTTTTGACAACAGTGAGGTTTCCAGTCCAAAGAAGACTTATTAGTGTTGGATAGAGCATGTTTGTCAAATATGATACACTGCCAGTGTGCAGTTGAATTCTAGAAAGCAGGACAATAGAACATAATATAGGTAACATTCGCGCAAATCCATAGGAGCTAGCTACATATATACAAGTATGCCAAACATTGTTGGCTTACTGTGAGAATTCCTTCAAATAAAGTTCTTTCAAGGACGAACTGTAACGAACGTCTAAGGATGAAAAGTGCAATTCATATTTAATATCACATGAAAATACTAGGTACATTCCATCCCCTTTCCATGAGCAAAAACAATAAGTTTGGGCTCACAACGCAATTCCTATTAGGTTCATCTGTCAAAAAAGCCTAAAACTAAAAAAACTGTACTTTGTTCTCCACCTCCAACCATCATCTTTATCAATGCTCCTCCTATGTCTAGAATCTAAACGATATATTGTGTTTCTTCCTCAATTGATCATGAATAATTGACACCATGCTAAAGACAACAATGGTACAATGGTTTCAAGAAAGTAAAACAAAGAACAAAAGCCACTTCAAACATCGCTTTTTTACCGTGGTCACTATCACAAACGGGGAACTGTGCTAGACAATGATTTTTTGCAAAACATGCATACACGTTTCATTATCTCGGAATGTGAAATAGAAGTATTATATGACTTATATTAATAGATATTGATTGCACGCGCAACTAAACAGGATTTTTACAAATTATTTTTTAGTTTTGGAGCGGCGGCAGTTTTTTTTAGCGCGGCAGCGGTTTCGGCGGCGGCGGCGCCCGCGCGACGGGCTTGGGGACGGGCGGCGAGGGCGAGCGCGGCTGCATCAGCAGCGGCGCGCGCGGCGTCTCCAACGGCCCGATCTTCTCCTTCTCCTCGTCCGGCAGCAGGCCCTTGATCTTGTGTATCGCGGCGATCTGCTCCTCAATGGTGATGTGGGCGGGCGCGTGGAGAGAGGGGGGTAGAGAGAGAGAGAGAGAGAGAGAGAAAAAGAAAAAGAGAGAAAGAGAGAGAGAGAGAGAGAGAGAGAGAGAGAGAGAGAGAGA